TTCCCCCTTCTATTTCTGGGAAGGGGTCAGAAGAGTAAGAGAGAACTCAGTTAATTTAGAGATCTCTGTTTCTAGTTCTTGGAAAAAAAAGGTTTTTCCTGGGGTGTCTTGAGACATGGGCATTTTGAACAGTTTTTCAATCATCAGTTGTCAGCTAAAAGTAATGGCTTCTAATTGCTCCATACACCTAAGCAGCATATTACCCCATTAGCTAATAACAAAGAGTGTGTTTGATCATATTCTGTAAGTATTATAGTAGTAGTATCGCATGCCTTGTCTCAGATTACACATTATCGCTGATTATCTCTGACTAGGTGTCTCTGAGTCACTGGACCGAATTCAGCCTCAGTAGGAAACGTTTGACACCCAGCTGTGGAGCTAGAGAAGCCACAGATCCACAATTAATGAGGCTTTTAGTTCATATTAAGATGTATAGGCTTCATCAACTTCAACCAAAGCATAGGAATAGGAATATAGTAGTATTTGGTTGTTTTTGGGGGTCTGACAAATTCTTCATGTACTTGAAGATTACCTGAGTAATCGTGAACGATGTAACAACAGCGCATACCGTCACTGCCACTCGATGCTCCATCTTTTGTTGAATAAGCTGGAACAAGAATCAATTTGCTATGAAGAAACACTAGGAAGACCAGCCTGGTTACAATTAATTGGTGGTCCCCTCACTGAGCGACCCACTCAAAACATTCGATTACTCGATGAAAATACTCCTTGGGTAGTGCTATCACGGTCAGCATTCCCTAATGAATTAACCGATTACAGTACCTGGTCACTGTGCCGTCGAAATAGCGTGGCAACGAAGGGCAGCTTTGCTTGACCTTCTCGTTGCATACGTCGTGTCACTTTACTGAGCGATTCATGAGGGAAGAATGAACTGAAACTGAGGAAATATCAAATATCATAGTCTTTGCGAAAATACTGTGCCACACTTTCAGTGTTGGCGACAAAGAAAACACATCTGCGTGCGTATGCAACGCGAGCGTATGACGTCACTGTGACACTGACACTTCCTTTACGAATTGACAAACAAGGGTCGTCGTGTTTCCTTCGAGAACTTTATTTTTGCTTATTTTTTAAATTCGAACGTGATATACTGGAAATGAAACATCTATGGTAAAGTGCCAGCTCGTCGGTTTCTAGAACATAATAAGTTCACTTCATACACAGAGCACCATATTGCTGGGCTAGCGCCGCCATTACGTCATTCAGACGCTTTGCGTACGCCCGCTGACGAGTTTTCTTTTTAGACCAATAGATCAACATACCGTTTCTTCACATAATACATCAGCATAGAATTGAGTACGACCAGAAATACCAGCGGTATGACAACCACCAATGCGACATTTGCTGCTCGCATCCATTTCACGTATTGTCGAAGGAGATGAGATGACGGATTAGTGCTGTTCGATTGCCATCTGAAATTTAAGCT